AGATAGCGACTTGAGTGTGGAACGTGGTTTAGTTTCATCGGGGGCTCAGTCCAGCTCGACTTTTGCGGTTATATATATTTAACGTTTCTCCTTCTCGTCGTCATGGCACCTGAATGGAGCTCTAACTCTCCATCCTAATCTATTAGGAAAGCCTCTGACCTTATTGGCCTCTGTGTCCCCCCCATGGTATTTAAATAAAGCCTGATGTCAAGACATTATGTGACATTTTTTAAAGAGTTCAGCCAATTTTATGGGCTGCTATAACAGCCTATCTAGACCTCGTCCTTCAATTTAAAATATTTTCTTGTTAAACACACTTCACAGGTCAATTGTGCCTGTTCCGAGGCTCAACATGTTAATTTTAATATCATTTTATTCATCTCAAATGCATCAGCTCCTCCCCCCTCGAAACCTACTTTACATTTCTCTTTCATATCACCTTAATCTAAATTGATGTGTTATCAAACATGGATCTCAGAGGAGGAGATCAAATAATGACTGTCAGTGGTGCATGGTGAACTGCCTTTTTGAACATAATTTAGTCCTCCACATTATAAAATATGCTTTAAAGCTAAATCACAAGGTGCTTTTCAAATGACCCTTCCCTTTGACAGAATTGTTTTTTAAACAAAGAGCAGAGCTGTAAAAGTGATGTGTTGCTTCCTCTAATATCCGTGAGGCAGTTTGATCAAAAGGTAATATTGGTGAGGGGCCGCTGCAGCTTCGTGTCTGCTACAAGTTACTTCCCAAAGGGCCCTTTTTCTCTCTGACACCTCGATTCTCGAAAGTGATGAGCAGATGATAAAGAGTTGTGGATTCCAGATATTTATTTATTGCTCGTATTGAAGAAGTTAATAGAAGACTGTGGGCAGTGATGCGTGAAGGGCTGTATGGGACAGGACTCCTTGTCTTAGATGCATAAGAGGCATACATCAAACCACACAGACGTGCGTGTGCACAACTACCCACACAGACACCGATGCTCTATATCAAATAGTTTACCCACTCGCTTTCTTTCTCTTGCCATTTTTCTTTTCAAACCAGGGCATATCCCACTCTCAAGGTGGCTATTAAATCAAACCGAAAAGATGACTTTGCAAAGAGAGAAATTCGATGTTACTTGTACTTTTGCAAAACTACACAGTCAGAGCTTCCCAAAAATAGCTCCCTGAGATCAGTTTAAACACACTTTCCCTCTTGCAGGAGCAGAGTTTGTTTGACCTAGTATGCAAACCCTGGTTAGCAGGTTTGATTGAGTGGAGCCGGGGATCTTAGGGCCGACTCCTCTGATACCTACGTCTCCCTGTCTCCATTGTTCTCTGCAAGTCAGCATCTTTTGTCTTTGCCACTGATTTGTCTTTTGATCTGTGCGAGTGATTTATCTGCATGGAATCGTTTTTCTCTCTGTTCCCCCTCAGGAAATTTGGAATGAGGCTGGCCTAACCTTGCCAGGGCCAAACAAAGCCCGAGAGCTGATCTCATGTATTTTGATGCTGTTTGTGAAAACGACACACACACATACACACACACACACACACACACACACACACACACANTTTTGAGTATCAGTATTTTACTCAATTGGCTTTTATGAATACATATTTTCACATTATTGTTTGTGATTCTACATTTTAAAGATGTTAAGTTTGGCCTCTCTGCCTAGAGAGGCCAAACTTAACATCTTTAAAATGTAGAATCACAAACAATAATGTGAAAATATGTATTCATAAAAGCCAATTGAGTAAAATACTGATACTCAAAAAGACAGTGGTTGTAAATGTAAAACCTCCCTGAATACCATGGATCAGGAGCAATAATCACTAATGTGCAATTTTCGCTTTATTTTCTTTCCCACATTTATTTTCAATGTGTAACCGGCTACTTCAATAATTGTATATGATCACTTTAACAATGAAATACTGCATTTATCTTTTCCAGGGTGTACTTATTTAGTTGTCGTGTGTGTGTGTGTGTGTGTGTGTGTGTGTGTGTGTGTGTGTGTGTGTGTGTGTGTGTGTGTGTGTGTGTGTGTGTGTGTGTGTGTGTGTGTGGAGACAGGCTTTATAGAGGAAACTCTATACTCAGACATCTAGCAGATGAGGCGGATGTTTAAATTCTGACTTCATCCATCACGTAACTCCATGATTATGATGTAAATGATTGCGATCCGAGTACAACAGGTTCTAAAAACAAAGACTTATTATTCATCACTAACTAATTGATTTAACATGCAACAACTGTTTATCCTCTTCTGGTGATAATGATGTTGTCATCACTGCTCCATTTGCAGAGCTCGGTGAAAGAATTCTTGTTTAATTCATTTTGGGTATTAATAGAATTTTCCCAGAGACATTACTAACAAAACCAAGGTTATACTTCCAAATCCACGTTTATGAAATTATACTTCCTCACAACTGAAAGGTACCTGAATTACATGAGTGAAAATGAAAGCAATAATAAAAATAAATAATCAATAATATTTCCTTCTGAGCCACAAAGGCATTGTATCACTCCAAACTGCAAACCTGGGTTTTCAATTAGAAGTCAAACAACATTTTGGGAAACTGGTATGGCATTATTCAGCATTATCTTTACATACAAGGCTGCAAATAATTCATAAGATATCTGGCTAATAAATCAACAATGAAAACAATGTTTGCTGAAGCCCTAAAGCGAGCGTCAAATAAAAGATATTCAATGTTTTGGAGAAAAAAAAGTGTTTAACTGCAGTTTATGGATGTTCATGCTTCTCTTCGCGTTGAGAAAGTTGCGCCACAACTGGTCTGTTATGCTTCATTTCTAAAAGATGCTACTGCTAGCGTTAAGTTGACATTTATATAAGCGGGCTAATGCAAATGTAAAAGATCAACTTGCTCATAATTGATGAACTGGTGCATTTAAAACATATCAGCCAATAGAGATGCACTCGTTCACATTGAAAGGTAAAAGTATTGTTATTATAACCTGAAGGATTATATGTTGTAGTTTGATTTTGGGATGGGCTGAGTAAATGTCCTAATTTAGGAAACAAAAAGGGGGGGAAATCTTTAGGAAACAAGAACGTTTCTGAGTAATGTGTAGTCCTATTTATACGAATAAACAATACGTATTTATGTTTTTACTGACACAACTTAGGCAATATGTCTTGTAGCGGTTTTGTGAGAATCGATTCGTTGTATTTCCTCATGTGAGCCCAGCGGCAGACTCACCCTGCCTTGAACTCTGTGTCACAGCGGCATCACGGCTGTGTGAATGTGTCTGTTTGTGTGTCCCAAAGCAGCCGCGAGAAATAGGAAGTACAGCTGAGAACGATTTCAGACAGAGCTGACCTCTGTTTTCGCCCCTTTGTTTCCCCTTTTTTTTCTCTCCACGTCTTCATCCGCTGCTCTCAACGAGTGAAAACGAGAGAGGGACTGCGTGTCACCTGCAGCAGGGGTTTCCCACAATGCACAACACAATACATTTTTTTTCAACTCCTCATAGGAAACGGGGTCAAAACAACAGACCGTGTAAACACAGCAACGGTGCGACGTGGTCTTTAAACGGACCTAGAGTCAAAGTGGACGTATCGAGGAAACAGGAAAGGAAGTGTGAGTGTGTGTGTGTGTGTGTGTGTGTGTGTGTGTGTGTGTGTGTGTGTGTGTGTGTGTGTGTGTGTGTGTGTGTCTCCTCCCTGAAACATGGCAACCTCGACTTGTACCACTGAACGAACACAGCCAGAGAACGAATCTTCACCACAATGTGTTGCACAGTGCCACCACAATTACTCATTTAGTTTCATGACGTTCACAAAGCCAGCAATGCTCTGTAAACAACACAATGTCTTGTTTCAATGTCAACCCCATAAGCTGGAATGCTACATCCAAAAAACACAGCCGTCAGCCTCAGCCTTGTAAATGTTGCTACATCATTAGCAGGATTTCCACAGGAGTCTCTGAATAGTTTCCTTACAGTTAGTCTAAATAAAAAGTCCAATGGGCATTAGCTTGAGTCTGGCCAGGCTGCTGGATATGACTGTTCTGAGTTTATGGGCAGAAGGGGAGGAGGGCAAGGCCGAGCCAAGTATTTTTCTGTGTCTTATTTCCTGTTTCTGATCAGGATTCTGTGAGCTGTCATCCACTGGAGAGGCAAGACTTTACAGTCAACACAGATGGACTGGCACCGCAGGAGTTGTGATGTCTGTGCTTAAAGTATATCTGAGCCTTATGCATACAGGCACATAGATGCACTCCCACGCAGATACATCCAAATGTGGAAGGGCGGCCATAAAAGCACTCAGAAATGCACAATGCTGGGTTTTTTACCGGGCGTATGTATAAATGATGCTATCATACAAGGGGACTGACAATGAGCACTGTCAGGGGAAATATTGGAAACCTCTGTACTGTGAACTCCGTAATGCCAGAGCTCTGATTATTTGTACTTTATGTTCATTGTACTTTTAAAATGTGTAGGGTTTATACAAACTGTCGAAAACGTGTATGCTGTTACGCGTATTTTAAAATCCCTCTTAAAAAGGTCATAATTTCTTTAAATTAGACATGTTGTTAATATTTTAGAAACAAAACAGCTCGATAAACTTGAAAGTGTTTTTAAAAATACATTTAATAACTATTAAAATGTGAGCAGTGAGATGTACTCCCTTTGGGGTGGGTTTATCCTATATAATTGATGAGCAATTTCAAGAAGCACTTATCTTATTAAATAACTTCGAAGGAAAGTTAGTCTTAGTAAATGAAAAACTTTCTCCAACACTAAGAATACTTTAACAGCAGACCAAATTGAAACTCCTATAACACCAAACTTTAAGGCTGCCAACAGTGAAGCGTGTTTGGATCAAGACCATACTTCCCAAACATCATCCTGTGACAACATAGAACAGAAATAACTGCTCAAGACAGAGAGAGGATTTTTTTTTTAGAGTTGTTAGGGTCAGTAGAAGAGAAAAAGTCAGTGTAGAGACTCAACATTCCCACACACAGGTGTACAGATCATGATACTCACTCTTGTACGGCGCGGGCTATAGACAGCGCAGTGGAGCCGGTCTCATTAACACTGTCCAAGGTCACGTTTGGCAGGTCGTCGTCGTCACTGTCGCTCTTGATCTGCCTTGGCGACCGGCCGTTGTGGTCTGTATGTGCTGTGAGGACAGAACACAGACACAGGAGTCAGTGGGGACAGTTGTTGTTTGAATGTGTGCATGTATGTGTGAGTGTGAATACAGAATGCCCAAGTTTAAAGTATGTGTGTATGCACTGTGTCTGCTCTCTGTTCCCCTGCTGGTGCAACTGACAGGGAATCATATTCAAGATAATGACAAACTTTCACATAAAAGGCCAGAAGACAACACAAAAGTCTAAATCCACCCATTAACTGCTTGTTCTCCTCCTGGTAGTTAGCAAATTAGCTTCCTCCCTTCTTAGATTATTCTCTTTTGCACAGTAACCAAGAAGAAAAACATGCACCATCAACACTTCTGAGCCTCTGAGCCAGTGAGCGCAGGGGTCTCTTGTCCCTTGAGCTGCATGACAAACTAACATCTACTCCACAAGTTGTGACAACTTCTCCCCTGGACAACTCATTGGATATATTGCCAGAGCCTGCAGCCGTTCGGTCCTCTCGGTCTCCATGGACACAGGCTGCGTACATTCTGGGTAGCTCAAGAGATGAATGTCAAAAAATATATAAATCTGTCACAGACTACCTGTCAAATAAAAAATTGCTGAATATCCCCTGGATTTAACATTAAAAAATGTTCATTTTGAAAAATACAGAGGAATACACAACTTGGTAATAGTCTATTATGTTAAATATTGAATAACTCTTCATGGTTCTGATGTATTCATCACCAAAACCAAATATACATATTGTGATTCGCTTTCAGCTGAAATCTGTGACATCCCCTGTTACTGTACGCCTGATGCTTTTATAAAAGCTATTAGGACTTCCACCTCCTCTGCCCTCTCAGCCGAGACTGTGGTCATAATGGCCCATAATAAGGGTCTAGAGTTGGGAGCAGACATGGTGTTATTACTGGGGGAGGGGTTAATGCTGTAACTCTGCTGGAGCCTTTGCTTTAAAGGTTTCCAAACTGTTGTCGTAGACTAAGACATGCAGAGTGGTCACCAGCTCGCCTACCCTATGGAAAACCTGTAATTAACTAGAAATGCTCCGTGTGTTAGAAAGGGGTATTTTGAGCGAGGGACACAAAAGGAGGAGTAGTGGAGAGGTGGGCAGAGCACCGGATTTCTTTCTTTCTCTCCTGTTGTTTCCAGTCAAGCCCTGTTTCCATGGCAACCTCCTGCCGGAGACAGGGAGACAGCAGTGAAAGGAAGGGTACCCGCCCTCTCTTATAGAGGATGGCCAACCTGTGTGTGAGTGTGTGTGTGTGTGTGTGTGTGTGTGTGTGTGTGTGTGTGTGTGTGTGTGTGTGTGTGTGTGTGTGTGTGTGTGTGTGTGTGTGTGTGTGTGTGTGTGTGTGTGTGTGTGTGTGTGTGTGTGTGTGTGTGCACGTGTGTGCGCGTGTGGGTGAGTGGTAGTTGTGTGTATATGTGAGTGCATGAAAGTGTTTTGTATCTGTGTTGAACGCTTCAGTATGACTGCGACTTGCATCACTGCACATGATTGTTCAGTTTAAACCAAGTCAAACAAGGTAAATCTGGCCCTCACATTAACTTCCTATTTGAGGGGAGTGGGCTTTAGATAAAGACTCTACCACTAAAACAATAGAGACACCTGAAAAGGAAAACGTTCATATAAAATGGAAACAGAAAAATCTACTTAAATTCAAACAACAATATAATGAATTGTAACACTTCGTTAGTATATTTTCATTTGAATTTGATTGTGAAATCCTATGTCTCCTTAAGTCACATGAGATGCCAGAAATAGCTGGATGTTCTGTTTGTCTTCTGGTTGCGATGTGATTAAAAGTGACTGTATCCACCACACCCAACAGTCACACTCGTTCACCCCATTTCCTTCGTGCTTTGTGCTTTCACTGCCCGGTAGAGCTGTTGTTGGACTGTGTACATGTGTGCGTGCATGTGTTTGTGTAAGTGCCACCCATCTTCAATATCCATCCACACCCTCTTATGCAAGCCTTGTTTTTCCTGTCCGTCCTTCTTTCCTCTTCTCTCCCAGGGAGCCGACATACAGTAAAACGCCCATCTCTAAGGGGACCACCACACCCATCCGACAAGTGTCTTTCTGACTACATAATCTAATTACACATGTTTGCTTGTTCGTGTACGGTACATGCACCGGTGTGAGCTTAGAAGTCTAAGTTTGTCTGTCTATCCTGCAGGGAATGTCAAGAAGCAACCTCTTTTTACGACCAACAGTTGGCCTGTGTACGGTTCAGGGTTGGACAGAAACACCTTCTGTAGGCTCACTCCCAGTGGTTGGCAGTAACACCACACCCCGAGAGAAAACCAATAACACAGTCTAGCCCAGGCCAGAGACGTCTAATACTGAAACTGTCCCGGATGTTTGCTTCTCCATAGAAAGAAAGTAAACAACTGGTGTGGACCTGAACCAGAAGCTTTTAAAGACAGCCAAGATGGGAGAGCCTTTCAACCTGTTAACCTCATCTTCACTTTAAGAAGGGAACATTATTACCTTTGAGGCCACTTCTAAAAGAAAGCAAACGCACTCTCCTTTCACACAGTCATGTCCACTGTTGACATTAGACAGGAGGACATCTGGACAGACAAATATACCAGCATAAACAGCTTGTCATTGGGATATATCAAGACTAAAAGCATCGGTATTTCATTCTTCATTGCCTCATGCCAGCATTACCTGCCTTTGTCATCCCTTGTTTTTGTCAAGGCATCCCAATGTGATCAGGCATGGATCATGTTTTATTCCATTTATGAAAAGGTTTCCAAATATTCATGTCTTGAGGGTGTTCAATTAATTTTTGGAGGCTGTTAGTTACCCCCTGCGCAGGAAACTAATTGAGGTGTATTGTGATGGTTGAAAGCTGATAAGTGAAAAAATAATCAACAGTTTTCAAATAGATGATTCTTTTCTTGTCTTCAAATTAAACTTCCTCACTAAGTGGAGAAACTGTCTATAAAACTTCGAGATAGGTCAGACAGGTTAAGTTGCAATTTAAATCAATATAATACAGAAGGCACAAAGCATGCATTCTGATTCACAATGCATCATAATTTCCTTCACAGTGCTCGACTATCAGTGCAGAGAAGTAGCTGGAAGTTATAGCTTTTCGAAGTGCGTCTGATGAAAATTCATGATCTCACCTTTGCCCTGTCTCTTCACCTCCTCCAGCAGAGGTAGCATGATGGCGTTGTTGAGTCTGGAGGGCGATCGAATGGCAGTGGTGTACATGAGGGGCAGCGACTGCACCACAACAGGGATGCGGTGAACATGGCTGACCAGCTTCCCTGCTCCCTGCAGGCTCAGAGGGCTGGATGGAGGCGGCGGCACAGAGTGCAGGATGTGCAAATATGGCTGACCTCTGACCCCGCTGCCGGGGGCGACCAGAGGGCCCGGCGTGAGCAGCGACGAGGCTGAGGTGATCACCGATGGAGACGAGGAGGAGGAGGAGGATGACGACGATAAAGAAGATGGGGAGAAAGCGTATCTGAGAGGGGAAGATGATGAGGTGGTGCTAGGGGTGGTGGATAGAGAGGAGGGGCGGGGTTTGTTGATTGACAGGTCGACAGGCTCGGTCTGTGTGTGGAAGTGCAGGTCATGAGCGAGCAGGTCTTCTGGAGGTTCAGGTTTAACTCTGCTGAGGAAGAAGGGGACGCCGTCCATCACAGAGTAAGGGCGCACTTTAGGTGACTGTGGGAGTAAAAAAGAGATTAATGTTAGATTTTTCCCCCAATCATTAATTTTTGTCATTTGAATGCCTTGAAAGTGCACTAGACTGCTACACACCACAGGGTATAAATACATAAGTAACTCTAGCTGTCTACAATCAATGAATTCATGGCATAACATTTCATATTACGGCAGTGCAGGGCTCGACAGTAACGGTTGCCAGGTTGCCATTGGCAACCATTCAAAGAAATGTCAACCACTTCTTGACCTTTGGTTGCCATCAGTGGCAACCAGTTTTTAACATAAAGAAATAAGAACAGCAAACAGCAACATGTGCACCCCAAAATAGATAAATTTTAATTATTTGTTGTATTAAGAGTGATATTTAATTATTGTTGTGACCAGTCGGAACCTGATACTTAAAGAGCAACTTCCAGGTTAAAGACACCTGTGAATAAATGTGTAGGAAAATGATGAATACACTAGATTTTCAAAAAAATATACAGAAATATACACTACAGTGAAATCTGGCATCGTTTTTGTAAGAAATTTTCACTTCCGCATAAAAGAGCCTCTGCACGTGACCTCCCGCGTGTGACGTAACATGGGGGAAACAAGGGGGAGAGCGGCGGTGTAACGTATTAATAAACATGGATCCCAATGCCAGTTTCGACACAGAAGAAGTTGAACATGAATATTCAAATGCATATGACGGACCACAACCTTATAATTATGAGCCTGCTAGGCGTCCAAGAGACCAGGAGCAGCCAAGGATTAGAAGAAATAACGGCCATCGGAGAGAAATTGAGCTG